AGCAGCTACATTTTGTTGATGAGGGACGGATGATGATGTAACACTTCTATAGAATAAGGACCCTGGAGGTGTATGACTAATCATCCCACTACTCATAGAAAACTGTGAAAACTGCGAAAACATCGACATCGATAAATGTAAAAACTGAGCTGAATATGTCTGTGTCTCTGGTGAAGCATCACCCACCAAATAAGCAGTATATGAAGACCACATTAGATTTATAAACATGGGAGTATATCCTCCAGGAGGTGTCATAAAACCATGTAGTGGTGGCATCGGAAATGGCTACGATGGCATCGAAAATGACTGCAGTGGTATCTGAAATAGCTGTGAAATATGTGGCTGATGTGATGGTTCTGGTGTTGTAGCTAAGGACGATCCGGAAGTGTCTGCTCTCCGTCCACGAGTCAGGGGACGATGATGTTATGACGGTATACATTTTTCTCGATGCCGACGGATGCTCTCACCTCGTGCTTCCTTGAAAAGTAGGAACGACTTCTCATTCGTATTGAACCACTAATAATAGTCATCCACAATCGAATAATGATCCACATAAATCGGCTCTGTACGGGGAATACATCCACGTCGATCATCCCAGATCATTACCCACTCGCTGTGCTTCATCAGCCAGTTGACTTCTTTTTTGCCCCGTTTATCGTTGTTATGCATATTGTCGATATTCTTATGTGTTTCATGAATAGATTGTACGAAACCAAATTGACAGGGCATGCGATCGATAAGATGCTACTCGATAATAACATAACATATCAGAGGGACCACTGTCATTCATACATCAAATGGGTCACTCAAGTGAGGTGAGAAGCAACACCTCATTTCTTCAGTAGAATAAGCAGTCCATTGAAACTAAAACAAATATAAATGATTCTTATCAAAATAATATTATAATTATATAATGATAATTAAAGGTAAATAATAAAATTTAAATACATACCTCTGTATTAGCCTTTTGATCAATGAGTAGCCGAATTTATTTCAATTCGTCTAGTATATCATGATGATTTTTCCTTATAGATAACCACCTATTCAGTTTAAAAACAAATTCATTATATACTTAAAAAATTATTTATATACAAACTCAATATTGAAACCTCAACAATAAAGGGTTTTTCATGTCTGGATGTAAAAAAGGCACGTGATACCACGCCCATGATTACAGAAGAATGAGACATCCGTTAATAGCATTTTTTGATAATCAGTTGCTCGACACAGTTCTCTATACAGAGATGCCAAAACCGCAGAGCCGAGATGATGTAACCACATATAATGAACTTGGTTGCGAGATATATCGGGCATCAAGATCCCTCCTATGAGTTGTAATATGCACGCCCGGACAAATATTTGAGTCTGTTCTTTGGAACAATCGTCGCTTAACCATAAAATATTTCTAGCCAACCATAATAACTGTATTCGACCACCGTTGAAATTAGACGGGATACCTTCAAGATACTCTTCGCACAAGGAATGTCAATCACCATCCGCCACACCAGAAATAACATTCCTATTTACCAAAAGCCCTAAATGTAAGGAAATATTCTCCAGCATAATAGTGTAAATGAAATGTGTGTCTCTGGTCTCTACATCTCAATCACTGTAGAAATAAGGTTGGATTCAAGGTTATAGTGTACTTCATATTTCGTTATGTAATCAAATCCAGCCTCAACTAAATACGGTCAGACAAGACTCGATATCTCTAATTTAGTATTACGAATAAATGAATATAATATACGATCATCCACATTATTAAATAAATAATATACAAATTAAAATTTAAACTAATACTAAAAAAATAAATGAATAAAACATTCACATTAAATAAAATAACAGAATTTAAAATTATTATCGTGTCAGCAAAATGACTCGATATATGATTTTCATCTAAACGCAGCAACCCGCCTACCATTTTATAACTGCAAAAAGTAATAAAAATTAATACAATAAAATATAATAAAATAATAAATTATTAAATGATTATAATATAATAAAAAATTAGCTTCTAAAAATGATAACTATACTTACTTAAAACTTGATAGAACGATATATAGAAAGAAGAAATAAAGTGTTTTTGTGTGGTATGAGTGTTGGATGAGGGGATATTTATATGGGGAGGAGGACGTGAAGTTGGGTTGTATTTAAGGCGGGATGGTTAGAATTTAAATGCAAGGTGCAGATTATGAGTCACGCATTCCGCCACATGTCTAATTCCTAGCAAAGACGCGTATTATGATCCGTACTTTTCCACCGTGGTGCCAGCTCGGACAAAAACATGCGAAGGCGCGCCTCATGATCAACGCTTTATCACAAAGGGGGCTAGATCGGTAATAGTGTCTGCCATGTAATATTTAACTATTAGAGTGATTTTTTGGGTAAAATTGCCTAAAACATCTCTCAATTTTTTAAATTTTATAAATCTCTCACTATTATTTTTAATAGATAGAATGATTATAGGATAATATTTATTTGGATGTAACTATTTAAATTCATAACTTTTAATAATAATAACATTGTCTTTTACCACAAAAAACCATTTGATGAACAAAAATCTTTCACAATTTGTAATAGAATAGGAAAGATACAATTTCACATCTACTATGAAAGAATCATGAATTAAATGACTTTAGTGATAAATGAATTGTTGTTGTTCCATAAGGTTTTGGGATTAAGAATCAGGAATGTTAGGGGGTGTGTGCATTCAATGTAAAATTATTGAGAGTTATATTTAAAAATATATTATCTTCTAATTACCCATATTAATCCCAAAAAAAAAACTATGAAAGATTTTTTTTTAGTAAAAAAAGCTATTAAAGAATTTCAATACAATTTCTCAATAAAGAGAAAAGCATTTAATAAAAAATAGTGATGGCTTTAAACATTTTAGTCCAGTGAAGGAAAATAAATACATGTTTTGTTAATGAAAGAAAAAGGAGAAGCAGGTTTCCATTTTTATGCAAAACGAACAGTCGAGCAGCGCATGCATGCAGATGCAGTATTGGTATGTAATATGCAAATCTACCATTTCATTATTTTTTTTAAAATAAAAGAAAAAAAACATATTCTAAAAAATAAAAAGAAAGATAAAAAAGCCACGTCATCTTAGATAATGTAACACTAGAATAGTAAATAATCGAAGGCAGAACCAAAAATAAAAGGTAAAAGGGGAGGTGGTGAGCACAGTATGATATTGATAGGTAAGATGTTGGGTTAGACAAACTCTGAAGCTGCATATCATAAACAAATAAATAAATCCAAATGTGAAAACCATATTACTATATTTCGACTTATTTGGGCGACAGGACAATTTAAATTAATAATTTTTTTTATTTTTTTAGAGAGAGAGAGAGAGAGAGAAGCAAAGAAAGCTAAATGTGATGGAAAAGATCTCTAGCTCTAGTGATGGCGTGGGTTTGCTTTTGCTTTTGCTTTTGCTTTTTCTTTTCCCACATGAATCTTTGAAAACCAAAGCCCTAGCTATCCAAATTAATATTAAAGTAAACTACGCGTTTAATATTTAAATTATTAGTTTTAGTATTTATAGTTCACCGTCCGACAGGCCTGAAATTGGACTATGTTGGTTAACTCGTCATTCTCTAGCAGTTCACCCTTCGTATCGATCGTCCAACCACCAGAGCTATATCACGTCAGCTCGTCCGCTAAGTTTTTAATGACGAGATACTAAAATCAAACAAAAACTAAACGTTAAGTAATCTTTTTTTTTAAAAAAAATAAAAGTTTATATACTAAAACGTACCAAAATTGATAGTTTAAATACTAAACGCATAATTTACCATTAATATTAATTGATGTTATTGTATAAAAAACAATTTATAAAGTGATTGTAATTGCCTTTAATCATGTGTCACTCTAAATAAAATTATATAGTGATTATATTTTTCTGGTTTTATTTAATGTTTAAGAGACGAATTCATAAATAACTTTAAAAAATGGTAATAAACCCTATTATGAGTAAATAATACCATATAAAATTATACTACATTGGTGTGCATGGGCGGAGCCTAGGCATGTAAATAAACTAAACGTTTAGCGAGCCGTTCATGAACCGTGCGGCGGAAGTTCGTTTATGTTCGTTTATTTATTAAATGAACGAACATGAACAAGATTTTACATTCGTTTAATTAAATGAACGAACACGAACAAAGGGCTCGTTCGTTCATTTACGTTCGTGAACGTTCAATTATATGTTCGTTTATGTTCGAACAGATGACAAGTTGAATATGTTACGAAGATTATTGAAGTTGTTTGGATTTCAAGAAGATTGTTTTGTTGAACAAATTAATTTTAAGACTTTATTATGTTTATATAGTTTATTTATGATTTATGTATGTATTTGTTGTATTTGAACAAATTAACTCTAAAGTTACAGGTTATATTAATGAATTTTAAGTTGTTATTCTTGTTGTTTACTTTTTTTACATTCATTTGTTGTGTTCGAATAAGTTTGTTTTTTGTGTTTGTGTTGTTCGTTTATGTTCGTTTATTATGTTCGTTTATTATGTTCGTTTATCATTTAAATGAACGAACATGAACAAGTTATATTCCTTAATGAACGAACATGAACAAAACAATTTTTGTTCGTTTATGTTCGTGTACGTTCAGTTCGTTTACAGGCCTAGCGGAACCACATGGGAGATCGGATTATTTTTTTAATTTCTTAATAAATTTTATATTAAAATAAAAATAACTTTTTTTTTTAAATTTTATCACCAGATTTGATTTTTTTCTCCCGCTGCTAATGTGTCAAAATAACAGTTTTCCAAAAACTTGATTTTGAATTTATTTTATTTCCTAATAAAAACATTAAATAATGATTTTATGTATTTATTAGAAATTTGATATTTTTAGTATATATTTATTTATGGTGTAATTAAAGTATTTGTGCGATTTTCCTTTTTTTTTTTTTGTGCCGTTGCTTCATCATTCTGTTTTTATCTTTCTTTCTTCTCACTGTCTGTTGGAGCAAAGCAGTTTTTGAGAGGCAGAATCGAAACTAATTTTACTCGCATTTTTTTGTATTGTTTTTCTTTCACTGAAGCTTACTAATATGACCAGACTGCTCCTCTCATACTACTACCGGTTATGAATCCCAACGTGGAGCCACCACTTTCCGGGCTACCACCGCCTCCACAACCGCCTCATCCCCACCGTCTTTCCACCTCCTGTGACCGCCACCCTCAAGAGCACTTCACTGGCTTTTGTCCCTCATGCCTATGTGAACGTCTCGCTGTTCTCGAGCCTTCATCTTCTGCTGCCGCTTCTTCTCGGAAACCTCCCGTCGCCGCCACCGCTGCACTTAAAGCCATCTTCAAGCCTTCCGGAGGAGGTGGTACGCGACCCGGGTTTTTCCCCGAGCTCCGGCGGACGAAGTCGTTCTCGGCTTCGAAAAACGAGGGCTTCTCCGGGGTTTTCGAGCCTCAGAGGAAATCTTGCGACGTTAGGGTTCGAAACACGCTTTGGTCACTCTTTCATCAAGAAGCAACCGCAAACGGAAGGCCTTCCGGGGTTGCTGAAGCGGAACCTCGAAATTCGGCTTCTTATTCGAGTGTTGTTCAAGACCCTGTTTTTGAAATCAAAGAAGAAGAAGACCAGAGTAAGAGTGAAACCGATCGCGAAGATGAGGACATTGAGATCATAGAAGAAAAACCACCACCCAATGTGACTGCTCTTACTGCGAATTTAATAGAAGAGAAAGTTGAAGAAATCGTGGAAGAGTACGAAGAGGAACTGTGTCAAGAAGAGGAGCTGAAGCCCATGAAGGACCATATAGATCTTGATTCACAAACGAAGAAAACTTCCGGCCGAGATTTCAAAGAGATTGCTGGGAGTTTCTGGTCAGCCGCTTCAGTTTTCAGCAAGAAATTACAAAATTGGAGGCAGAAACAGAAGCTTAAAAAGAGTAGAACTGGATGTGGGTCAGCGAGATTACCAGTTGAGAAGCCCTTAGGAAGACAATACAGAGAAACCCAGTCGGAAATCGCCGATTACGGGTTCGGGAGACGGTCATGTGACACGGATCCAAGGTTTTCCCTTGATGCAGCTAGGATGTCATTTGATGATCCGAGGTATTCTTTCGATGAACCCAGAGCTTCCTGGGATGGATATATGCCTGGGAGAATGTTTCCAAGGATGCCCACAATGGTTTCCCTTGTGGAAGATGCTCCTGTTCCTCATGTTATCAGGTCCGATACTCAGATTCCCGTTGAGGATGATCCCACTGCTATGAATTCCATCAATCAGGACGAAACGCTCCCCGGTGGGTCGGCTCAGACGAGGGACTATTATTCTGATTCTCGGAGAAGAAAGAGTCTTGATAGGTCCAGTTCTTGTAGGAAGGCTGCTGCTGCTGTAGTAGCAGAGATGGATGAAATGAAGCCTATTTCGAACACAAAGGTTTCACCTGCAACTGCTGATTACTTCCATGGACCTAAACTCGTTGTGCCAGATAGGGATTTGAACTCAAATTCTCTGAGAGATGATTATTCAGACACGTTCGAGATTGGTTTAAGAGACAATGCATCTGCGATTGGTAATGTGGAACAAAAAGAGTTGGCAAAGAAGTCGCGGAGGTGGTGTAAAGCTTGGAACATTTGGGGGTTCATTCACAGGAGGAGTGTTAACAAAGATGAGGATGAAGATAGGTATAGTAGATGTAATGGTGTGGAGAGGTCGTATTCGGAATCTTGGCCTGAGTTTAGAGGGGAGAGGAATGGAGATGTGAGAGGAGGGTTCAATCCAAAGGTGTTAAGGAGCAACAGCAGCGTAAGCTGGAGGAATTCGAGCGGTTTCAGTGCAGGATCGTTTAGCAATGCTAGGAAGAGCTGTGATGTCGAGTCAAATGGACATAGCAAGAAGAAAACAGACGAGTTTGTATGGGAAAGGAACAAGAGTTCAAGATATTCAGCAACTAACTTTGACAATGGACTGTTAAGGTTCTACATGGCACCGAACGGCAGCCGGAGAGGTGGGTCGGGTAAAACCAGGGCAAACCATGCGCATTCTATTGCCAGGACCTTACTAAGGTTGTACTGAATTCGAGATCCATATGTTGTTATCTTTGGTTTAATGTCGTTAATTCTGCTGCACTTGCTATGTAACCACACATGCCTTTGTAATTTGCTGGTTGGTTTAGATGAAACAAAAGCATTCTTAAATTGTTGCCTTTCTTCCGAGTGGCATGCTTCAAGTATTCGAATAACAACATTTTCTTCCATAAAACATTTCAAGTCTGTCCGTTCTCCTGTTCTATTTACCAGAAAATAGAAATAACATAATTCATATATGCTTTCAATTTGAACATTTAGAGTGTATATGTGCTGCAAATATTGTAAGAATATGCTACTCATTGTATTTGTCACGTTGAGAACTATTGATAGGACCAAATGAGTTACGATTGTTAACAATAATGCTAATTCATCCTTTCTGATTTGGGTGAAGGATCTATTATTGATCAATGTTAATGTTTTATGTCTCCATGACGAGGAAGTAGAGAAGCAAATGAAGGTGAGGTGGTTTCATCTAGATCACAACCTTCCTCATAGTTTTGGTCAAAAGATTTTATATCGACTCTTATAGTTGATGTTAAACGTAGGGTAATCATGACTATAGGTAGATGCATGTTACGTGAATATCATCGAGTGATGGTGAATTTGATTCTGATACATGTGAGTATGTTGGAGTCCAAAAGTTATGTCAATACATCCCGACTTCTTGAAAGATGTTAGACATTTGAGGAGGCTGAAGCAATGATTATTTCTGCCATTAACAAGGGTCATTCTTTGTTGAAGGAATCTACATTTTCAGTTAAGTAGATAAAAATCATGCTTTTTTTCCTTCCTTTTATCTAAACATGCAAACTTTTGCCTCCCAAGTCAAAAGGTGACTGAAAAAACAACCCCACAAGGGAAAGACAACTCAGAACCCAATGTTCACACCTCTAGAAGTCAATTGAATAAATAATAACCGATTGATCTAATTAAATGAGATATTAAATCTTTTAAGTAAGATTATGAGATTGAATTTTGGGGTTTAAGAATAAAAAAAATTAGATTGAGAGTCTTCCCTGTAACGAGTCTCTATAATATCGAATCTGGATTAGTTTATCAATATATTAGATGTCAATAGTCGGAAAAAAAATCAAATAAATAGTTGGGTTGGTTTTATTGGGCTTATTGGTTAATTCTATGAAAATGATTGAAAAATAATATACCAGCCCTCAAAGCCCATATAGACATGGCTAACTATTCTAATATTTATTTATTGGCATAATATCAAAATTAGCTCCCAACGTTTATCAAAATATTTATTTTATCCTTTATTTCTACTTTTAACGCATTTTGACTCTCAACGTTTTATTTTAGGGTAAAGGCCTCTAGCATTTGACAAAATAATCACTTTGTCTATTATTCTTTTTTTGTGGGCACTCTAGCCTTCAACGTTTCATTTTACGTTAAAAAATGCTCCTATTTTGGAGCGTTAATCTTGTGTTAACTAATTGCTTTTCATCTATAGAGGGAGTTTTTTGTCCCAAAGTGAAACATTAGAGGTCAAAATGCTAAAAAAAGGGGTCAAAATATCGTTCGATGAACATTGGGAGCCATTTTTGGTATTATGCCTTCTTTATTCTTGGTTGAATTATCGTATTTGGTCCACTATACTTTAATTTAATCTTAGTCCCCTCCTACCCAGGCCTAAAATTGTAAAGTCCATGTATAATGAAAAAAAGATAAATTATGTATTTAGTCATCCAACTATTATTTTATTTTTGTTTTAGTCATGCTTATTTTGTGAGAGTATTTGTATGTTTAATAAAATTTATTGATGTTTTTATTTAAAATTTGATATATTTATTATATATTTTATTAAACGTAATAAAGAAAACAATTTACAAAAAAATTATTTATTTTTTTCGATATTTGCTCGTAGGGCCTAGTTTTTATGTTAGTTTCAGGCCACTAAAATTTTAAAAGTGGGCCTCTACTTATAAGTTGGGCCTACTAATCATTTGTTGTCTTAATTGGCGATTAGGGTTTCAAACATAGGATAAGGAAGGAGATTTGGGGCAATTGGGAAAAAGGCCGAGGATTTTTGTTACTCGGATTGGTTTAATCTTGGCTTTCAACGTTGGTAATGCTTGTACAAGCATTATTATTTTGGAATGACTAATGAGTTACGGATGGCAACATGTCGGGTTTTTGGTTAATTTGACCTGACTTCAAAATAGATATCCTCTACTTGAATTCGACTCGAGTCGAAGATTTTATATCTTATATCCGACCCGACTCGACCTGACCTAAATTTTTTTATCCTCCACTCGACTCTAGGGATGGCAAACGGGCGGGTCGGGTACGGATACCCCCTCCTCCATCTCCATACCCACATAATATTTTTCAATCCACCACCCGCCCACCACCCATGATGGGTACAAATTTTCAAATCCACACCCACCCACGCGGGTACATTTTCAAATTCATCCCCACACCCACTACCCACTAGCGACATACCCATCTAGACCCGCCTGACAGCAAACTAATGGGATGTTGGAGTTGGTTCCCAGACAGTTCGTGATGGGGTAGCAACGCATGCTTCAATTTGTCAGAGGAGTGACTCTACGAATGTTATGGAGACAGATTGTAGGGAGCATGTAGTCGCAGAGCTGGATTGTTGAGTTGCTTTCGATGTTAATGCTCATAGTGCGCCTAATATGGGTGTTGAGGGGCTAAAGAACATGAAAACTATTGCTTTTGATATTAATGCATATAGTACGGCTAATTTGTGTTTGGATGGGCAGCATAGGCTAAAGAACATGGAAAGTGGCGTGGTTAGTGGGATTATGAGTTTAATCAAAGAGTCGAATATTTCCCTAATTAAAGACCAGATTAAAGACTAAATATCCTTAATATTTGGTTAAATTATATGTTATATATTATACAATATTAAAATTATAAATTAGTCTATAAAATTATACCTAAATTCATAATGATCCAAAATTTAATAGATATTTAGCTGGGCGGGCGGATGTGGGGCGGGCGGATGCGGGGCGGGCGGATGCGGGGCGGGTAATGTCTCAAACCCATTACCCGTCCACCACCCACGACGGGTACCACTTTATAAATCCACACCCGCCCACTACCCGCTAAAATTATACCCATCCCTGCTCCAATTGGAGCGGATGCGGTGCGGAATCCACGAAACTGTACTCGTTTGCCATTCCTACTCGACTCGGACCTGAACCAATTTTTTAGAGTATAAATCTGACCTGACCCGAGCTGGTATAAATTAATGATTTAATTGAAAAAATAATAATTTTAAAATGAAATTACATTATTACCCTCAGGTCGGGTCGGGTCGAATTTTTTTACCTTCTACCCGAGCCGATCCGACCTCACCTCTTATAAAATCCGACCTGACTCAACCAAAACCCGACCATATCAGATCGAAACCCATCGAATTCTGGTTAAATTACCATCCCTATCACGAGTAATCAATTTTCAATTTTAGAAAAAAACACATTTATATTCATTTCTAGCCGCCAACACTTGTTTTTATTATTATAAGAATGGATTCTTACAATCTTCACAAGAAAGTTTCCTTTCCTAAATTTCTCTTTATTCTCTGCACTTGGGGCTTCAGGTTTCTGTTAACTGTCAAAGAAGCCCTTTTAACCATTTGCTGCTTTAATGTTAAGAAAAAGCATCTTTAATTCCACTTGGGTAGACAAATATAACCTTTTTAACATTTTAATACAAGGCTCCAAACAAGTGCCTTTAAGCTTTCGTGACTTTAATCTTGGGTTTGGACTGCAGCTTCGAAAAGATATCTTGATGCCACTCCAATATTTTCATATTATTTTAAGAAGTGTAATTAAAACATATGATATGATGATATCGTTTATCATGTTATAATATCGTTAATTATCTAAAAACAATATTATTAAAATAAAAATATTTAAATTTAAAAAATATTTATATTTTAACGACCAAACATAAAAAAAATTGAGCGATGATATAAATATATAGTTTATCCTTAAAGAAAATGTGTATATAAGAGAAAAAATAAAAGCAAAAGCAAAGCTGAAAGGTTAAGGGTATATGAACCTTTGCTACAAAGATGCTTGCATTTTTATTCTCCTCCTTTATTCCAACCTTCAATTTCCACATCTTTCTCTTAGGAAATAGACGAGTAAACAAACAGAATAAATCAAAATAATAAGAATATAATATTGATTTATGTAAAAAAGAAGAATAAAATAGATAGAAAAAACTAAAAATAAAAGAGAATATATATATATAATGATATTTACTCATTCAATGATATTAAATTTATGTAAAATTAAAGAATTTTATATTGCGTAAGCAGAACGTAACTTTCTCTGTCTATATATAATATATTGATACAAAAAAATTTAGATTAAGAGTGACTTTCCAAATCTAAGATGAACAGTGACGAAGACACTAAGGGCTTAGGAGGGGCTGTGGCCCTCCTCATTCAGCCAAAAATTTGTTTTTTTTACCTTTAATTTATATATATAAAATTTAAATATTTATGGGATAATTCTAAATTTGTCCCCCAATTTTAGAAAAAGTATACTTTCCCCCTCAAGTTGAAATCCTGGCTCCGTCCCTGAGAAAGTGACCAAGGTGGCAAAACTTTCGAGATAATGTTCTGGAAAAAATTAATTCACGAGATAAAGCACTCCCAAGATTAATTGCTCAAATAAGGTGAAATTCACAGTGTTGGCCGTAGGTCGCCATGCCTTCCGGGCGACCTACTAGGTCGCCATGTCTTTCCGGTGAGCTACAAGAGATTGCATGTGCCATGCACGTCCCAACACGCTAGGCATCCGAGGCCATCCGACCGAGACAATCCGAACGAGCTATGCGAGGGCAGCCGAGCGAGCTATGCGAGGGAATTCGAGGGCAGCCGAGCGAGGGTAGGTCGCCCGGAGTGCATGGCGACCTAAAAGGTCGCCCGGAGGGCATGGCGACCTATGTGTTGGAACATGCATGTGCCATGCAACACGTTCATTCTCTCTGTTTGAGCAAGGGTAGGTCACCCGGAGTGCATGACGACCTACAAGGTCGCCCGGAAGGCATGGCGACCTACGGCAAATACTGTGGATTTCACTCTATTTGAGCAATTAATCTTGAGAGTGCATTAGCTCGTGAATTAATTTCTTTCAGAACATTATCTCGAAAGTTTTGCCTGACCAAGGCATACCTAAGATGCAATTGGGATTTATATAAGAATTTATAGATTGTCCACCAAGAGTGACTATAGTGTGATTCGAAGTTAGGCTTATAAACTCAAATTCTTAAATCCCAACTATTTGTGCCAACATTCGTTTACATAATTATATATATATATATATATATATATATATATGTATGTGAGTGTTTTATGTTCATTACACGATTTGTAAATAAAATGATCAAGGAGACGAAATCTATGAGAAAGAGATCCAGTACAACATATCACTTGATTTAAATTTTATTAGAAGCACAACGAAAGAAACTCGAAAGAGAATAAAAAAGTATATCAGTGGAGGTGATGTCAACTATTTTTCAGAGCATGCTATCAGCTCGAGACGGCAATCTCCGGAAGAAATTGCTCGGTACCGACGGTAGTTTGCTCCGGAATCTGGGATGCCGGAGCCAGAACAAGCCTGCAACCAGAGCTATTATCTTAAATGGTGTCACATACAATGTCACTGCTGCAACTAGGCAAAATACAACGAATAGGCTGGTTGCCCTGGGGTCTCTCCAGCTCAGTAGAGCCAAAAATCTCTCACCCTGAGTCGCCATGTCTCCCACCACTGTCTGAATTCTCCCTGCCACGCTTCTAAGCCTGTCATATCTCATCCTCACGACATCCTGAGGTTTCGATGTGGGGAAAGTATCGAACTCTTCGTTGAGTTCGTCGGGGTTAGCTACTTCGGCCCATGAAAGCTTGGTATCCATGTGGGGAGGATGCCTCGGCCGGTATCTGTAATTCCAAATCCCGATGAGGAACATGTACAAGAACATGGTGGGGAGGATTAATTCAGGGTAGCATATCAATATGAAGAACAGAACATGAACTAGAATTGTGGTGACAGGGTTCTTCCAGTAGCAAACCTCACCGAGCCACTTGCTCATAGCAATCAAACCAGAAAACAGTGACACAATCCTGAAGAAATTAGCTTTGCTTCTTCTCATGCTCCACATGTGGGAATCGACGTCCAACATGTACTCCACGACCTCTTTCCGCAGTGGCGGTTCAGCTCGACCGAGCCTCACCGCAACAATGTTCATTGCCTGATATCTTAGGCTGTCTAACTGGTTCACAGTGAATGGATGCAAGTAATGCATTTTTGGCAGCAAGGGCTGCCAATAGAGGTAGATCATATGGGCAAGAGAGAGGCATGTGAATCGAACTGCTAGCTGAAGTTCCCCCATTTTCTTCAATCCGGATGGTTGTAGAACGAGAAGAGGGTACGAGTGCGTATAAATCTTATCTGTTTCGAGTGTCGATAATCGAATTCTTACCTTCCCGATTCGAGAATCGTTTTTACCTCCACCGCCTGAAGCTGGTTTTTCACTTCCACCCAAGTGGCAGTTGTCGAAAACTCCCAATGTGATCACCGTGCAAGGATCGTAGACCTCCCAAGTATATTGCTCATTCCATTTAGGATTGAAGCTTTCGATTATAGTTCGAGTCCTCACCCATTTCTGCCCGTATTTCGCCACACAGTAAGCATCGGTGGTTCCTTTACCATCTTTGGTCTTCATCGGTTGAAGACCTTGAGCACTTAAGATGCCGACTTCCAGGATTCCGATCGGGTTCTTCCAAAGCTGCCTAGCAGTTGGCCTTTGGTCACTTATGTACATGGTTGATTCATCCAGCACATGGTAACCTCCTTCAAGACAGACTCTAAGGTGAATCCTAGTTGAAAATTTGAGTTCATGCCTCTTGTCTCCCTCCAGTGCACCGAAACCAAACTTTTCGAGATTGAACCATTTCGAATGAACCGCCCGATGATCCAACCGTCTCTCGAAGATGTTAAGGGGCAAGATTAATCTCCCTATAACTTCATCTTTTGCAGCAGACACCTTATTTTCAACTGTTAGGTACAGTTTTTCCTCGAAAGGCTCGGCTGCTACGAAAACCAAATCTTCGTTCCACATGGGATTTGTAGTCTTCTCTGGACACAACTTGGTTTTGAGTATTTGATTTCCAACTTGAGCCTTAACGAAAGCCTGTGGCAATTGGCTTTTATCATGCGGCTCAAGATCCTGAGCTTCGATAACGTTTACCCTAAGGTACCATAGCTTCGGGGAGACGTAAACCTTCGATCGGATACTGAAAACGCCCTCTCCTTGAACAGAGCTAGCGTCTGTATGCCAGGCTTCGGGAAATGCTTCATCAGCTTGTGTTCCCATCCAGACTGCAAGCATAACCTCGCCTCTCACCTTGCTCTCGCCTCTGCGGTCTTCTAACCGATACCATTGTGGCGCTAAAGGGCTGTCGGGTGGAACCCTTGTAGGCACTTCATTCATGTCGAAGATCACCCTTCCAATGTAATCATCCCTGCCTACCATCTCTCTGTCTCTAACGAACACCTCTAGGACTGAGGACTGAATCTTGTCCTTGGAGAATGCAAACACTTGGTGCCATTCCGGGTTCGGTTTCTTCTCGAAATGCTGCGTTTTCCCTTTATAATTCCCCAGCTTCACTTCGACGTAGGGATCGATGGTTCCGGTAACCGGATTTGGAGGCAGATCTTTGGCCTTAACAACCCTGACGTAGAGGTAAAACATTTGTTCAACAAGGTCATACGTGCTTGTTGCTCTTTCACTGCTAATCCAACCGCCTCCTCCACGGATTCCGCCATGGGGCCACCGTTCCCCTAGCTGCGGCTTCGTGTCCTTCAATTTGTACTCTTCTTTCTGGCTAGCAGCAGCCGTTGAACTCATTGGCTACAGGCTTTCAAACTCACCACTTGAAAAGAAATTTTGGTCGGCGTACAAGACGAAAGCCACTTGTTTTTCTAACTCGACTTGTTCATAATCGTCTCTCCTGGATTGAATTGTGTAGTTGTATAAAAAAACAATGGATTCTTGTCTTCCAAAGAACGTTTCTTTTCCTTTTCTCTTTAGATATCAATCGTTTAAATGCTCTGGATTTTTATTCTTCTTTTCGTTTTCTCTTTGGCAGAAAGCAAAAACATATATGAAAAAAGAATAAAAAATAAATAAAGCTGAAAGCTTAAGGGTATATGACCTTTGGAACAAAGATGATGCTTTTGCATTTTTATTCTCCTCCTTTATACCAAGCTTTAAGTTCCACTGGCATCTTCTGTTAGTGCTTAGGTGGTGAAATACTGAATTTCGCAAAACCTTTTTCTGCAAAGCCAAGAAGAATCCTATTTATATTAAGGCTTAATACCAAAACAAATGTACAAATTATACTTTTTTTTAATAGGTGTATAAACTATTTTTTGACTAATTTCAGTACTTGACGTTATAAACGTTATCATTTTCGGTACCTGGGCCGTCAACAATGTTAATTTTTTCTTAAATGACACGTGTCATAATCTGATAATTTTACAAATTTTATTTAAAATTGAAAAATTAAAATATATATTTTTCAAAAAGAAAACACAAAAATTGAAATAAACACATTGAAAATCTTCATTTCAATCCCTAACCCACGTTGGTCGCCGCCTTTTGCTGTCGACGAAGCTTCACCCCACCTCCTTATCCCCCAGCGACCAAAACTCCTATGAAATCGTGACTGATTGACGGCCGATCGATGTTTCATACACTACGAACCCTATGATGAAAATCATGATCTCACGTGATTCTAACAGCCAATCGACGACGTATGACTAGGAGGATGACATGGACTACGTCGGCGGTGGTGGTCATGATCGGAAAGACAGTGACGACGGGTTAAGAGAAATTAGAGTTTTTTTAATCAATATAATAATAATTTTAGTATTTTTAAAAAAATAAATTTCAAAATATCAGATAGTGACACGTGTCACTTAACAGGAGAAATTAACAATGTTATTTGCCTTAACACCTAAAATGGTAACGCTTATAACATTAGGCACCTGAATGAGTCAAAAAATAATTTAAGCACGTATTCAAAAAATGTATAATTTTGACACTTATTTTGATATTAGTTTGGGCAATTTACCCAAAAATCACCTTAACATTTATATATTACCCGTCAGGCACTCTTTCTCCAAATATTACCGATCTAGTACCCTTTCTGACAAATCGCATATCATGAGGCGTTCCTTCGCAGGGTTTTGTCCGAACTGGTGTCACGATAAAAAAGCGCGGATCATAATCTATGCCTTCGCGGGTTCTATCCGAGCTGGCGCTATAGAGGTAAAGCGCACATTTGCTTTAAATTCCAACCGTCCTGCCTTAAATACCGCACAATCCCTTGTCCCCCTATATATACCTCTCATCCAATACTCATACCACAAAAAAACATTATATTTCTTTTTTCTATATATTGTTATATCAAATTTTAAGTAAGTATAATTATCATTTTTAGAAGTTATATTTTTTATTATATAATAATAATTTAATAGTTTATTATTTTATTATATTTTATTGTACTAATTTTTATTACTTTTTGTAGTTATAAAATGGCAGGCGGGTTGCTGTGTTTAGATGAAAATCACATATTTTGTTATTTTACTGATACAATAATAATTTTAAATTATGTTATTTTATTTATTGTGAATGTTTTATTCATTTATTTTTTAGTATTAGTTTATATTTTATTATTTATTTAATTAGGTGAATGATTTTATATTAGATCTATTTATTCGTAACACTAAATTAGAGATATCGAGTCATTTTTATCCCTATTTAGCTGAGGTTAGATTCAATTACATAGCGAAATATGAAGGACACAATAACCTTGAATCAAACCTTATTTCTGCACTGATTGAGAGGTGGAGACCAGAAACACATATATTTCATCTTCCGTGTGGGAGAGTACACTATTACGGTGGAAGATGTTTCCTTACATTTGAGACTTCCAGTAGATGATGATGTTATTTTTGGTGTGGCAGATGGTGATTGACATTCTTTGTGCGAGGAGTACTTTGATAGAAGGAAGAATGTAGAAGTAATTTTAGTGTAATTTGATGTTTGCATTCGAGGGTATTTATAGGGGAGAAGATGTGTGAATAACCGAGAGAGTTAAGACTCAGATAATAATTGACTGCGCAATAGTTCAAAGTGAATAAGCGAAAACATGCTTCATGATCCGTGCTTTTCTACCGTGGTGTCAGTTCGAACAAAACCCTGTGAAGGTACGCCTCATGATCTGCGTTTTTCACAAAAAGTATTAGATCGATAATATTTAAAGAAAGGATACCTGACAGGTAATATTTCGTTGTTAGGTATTATTTGGGTAAAATTTCCTAAAGTTTGTGCTATCACCATGCATATTTGTTTAGGGTGACATATTCCCGTAGTTTCTGCTGTCAGAATATTTAACTTTTTAAAAAGTTAATAGTAGCACATAACTTTCAACAAATGTTTCTTCTTTATATATATAAAGTTCATCTTAATTCGTGCTTATAAACACTGATTAAAGATAATGAAAATCCAGAAACTTCATTCCACATTCATGTTTTTTTTTTAATTTTTGGTACACACCAACTTGAATCCTTCTAAAAACTGAAGCGCTAGTGATTGTAATTTAGTTGTCATTTCAAAATACTGATTTATTATGAACACACTTTTATTACTTCAATTTAATATATGACAAAGACAACCTCTAATTAAGTGTAAATATTTATTAATAAATAAAATATTTATTATATGATAGAAAATTTTAAAATAAAAAAATTATATATTTATCGAGAAACATATGTTTCCTGGGTGAGAGATTGTTGAATTTAAATATGTAAATGTGAGCACACATATCATATAATATAGTATGATTCAAAATTAAGTGGTAAATTGCATACTATAGAAAATAAAGTACAATAAAAATAAAGTATAAATATTATAAATTGTAATTAGGCTTAAGTATACAAAAAGTGCTCAACTTATACCCCTATTCACGTGTGGTCCTAAATTTGCAGCAAGAGAGGTGAATCACGTGTGGCCAAACAGTTAAGTAAATATATTTTTGTTATTTTATCTTTTTCTGCTCCAAAGTCTGTTGTCCATCTTTCACTGCGAAAAATCTTTCAGCTTTTAATCTCCATAATGCTACAACAACAATTTCTCCAACATGCGTCTCAACAACCATGTTTTATCCTTAATCTTCCATTGCATGCACAACACCACAAAAACAAGACCTTTCCTTCAGCCACACTAGTTTTCAATAAATTCGTGCTACAACAAGACTTTACCACCAAATGCAATAATGATATGACATGGGCTTTAAAACAAACAATAACATAAGTAAGAAGACACAAAATACAATCTTTTTACGAGGTTATCAAGGTCTCTTTTAAATAATAGAATAATAAAAAATAATTGTCTAACATGATCAGATAGTGTCAAGTCAGTCAATATAATATGTCAAATCAATATTTTGTTGTCACAATAATGATCTTTAATGGTCGAGTGATTAATTTGTTATAAATAGATAATGTCAATGACCAAATCATTACCTTTGAAATATCAATAGAGAAAAGAAAAAAATTATTTGAACTACGGTGATCATTTATGTAATATATCCTTTAAAATTTGAACTATTTTTTATTACTCATTTTTTAGCTAAACTACAAAAAATGGTCACTTTCGTTTGAATGTTATAAAATTTTTCTCACTGAATTCAAAAAATATAATATTTGATCACTTTGATTTCGTTTTAACTAAGATGTGGTCAATGAAGGTTAACGACTGTTAAACTTTTAACGATTTGCTGACGTGGCACTAAAAATATATATAGAATTAAAATTACATCATTTCCACTTACGTGGATTAAGTTTTGGTCACTTACTTTATCGTTTTACTAATTTTTAGTCACTTGGTCGTTGAATGTCGTTAGTTTGATGGCATAACTTGTTAATAAAATGGTTTAATTTTTATTTTAACCTCTAAAATTTGGACAAAATATTGAATGTAGGTATTTTGTAAATTTAAATTAGTTTAAGGATAACATTTCAATTTAACCATTTTTAATATTTTTCTCCCTAACCCCCAATATTGCTCATCTTCTTCATATTCTTCTTCAGACATCTGTTCTCCATTGCAATAACCTTCTTATTTCTAATTATTAGTTGTAATTATTTGAAGTCAAACTAGGTGAGTTCTTAGTTGTGAGAGAAGGTATAAAAAAAGAAGTAATGAAGATCATGAAAAATGAATAGAATTTACCATTAAAACTCATAAAAAATTCACCACCACCACCAACACGACGTCATTGCCTCGAGCCGATAAAATTAGAGCTTCTTTAATGGCGGTGTTATTGACGATACAATACCAGGTTTCCATCTCTAATGCTTTGTTGACCAACGAAATTTGCGTGATACGAAAGATCGTAGAGAATGCTTCATCGCATTCGAACGTGATTGACCTCTGTTGAAAACATTTTGATATTTCGATATAACAAATAAGTTAAATGAATTTTAAGATTTTCCAAAAAGATTTTCTAAGTATATTCGATATAATTATTCGAATATCAAAATATTACTCCAAATCTTTCAAATGTCATTTTTAATCCTTACTCAAGTATAAAATTAAGTTTTAATCTTAAAATAATTTCAAAACGATTTTACAAAATATTTCGAACCATTTCAAAGCCAAAAATCCATATTGCTCAGAGGGAACCGATTCCCCCCCAAGGGGGTACCGATTCCCCCTGAATGGTTTGGCTCCGAGAATTCCAGTATGCTCGGAGGGAACCGATTCCCCCCAGGGGGTACCGATTCCCCCCACTGTTCAACGGTCGAAATATTTGAATTTTACACTTAGGGAACCGATTCCCCCATGCTCCAAGCTGTTTTATTAATTGATTTCACACTAAAACGGCTATATTATCTTCATTAATGATCCCCAACGTTCAGAAGTGATTCAAGGTGTATTTAAGCAAGCTTAGAAGCCATTGATCAATAATAAGAAACATCAAGCAACTAGAATCAAGAGAGAATAAAAGAGAAAGCATCAAACCTC